GTAGTTGAGACCCAGTGATTACTAGAGTTGAGTATCTAATAGCCTCCTCTCCCATCATACGGCCTTTCCCTCCCATACTGCGCTAAGGTAATTTAGATTATGTAGTTCACAGTTCCTCACACTGTATGTCCATATATGTAAGTTTACATTTTATATGTAATTTTGTTATAACATATGATAATGAATAATGTATGTATTTATATTTTGAAAACCAATAAAAATGTATTAAAAAAAAGAAAGAAGGGGGCGGAGCCAAGCAACCAAGCAGCCCAGACGTACCGTGCAAGAGCTCCCACGCCTGGGAACAAAAAACGGGGCATCTCGCCCAGCCATCGAGACCCACGAGCCGCAGACCATGAACCGGGAGAGGCTACAGCATCATATGGTGCCTCTCTTGAACCTCAAATCAGCCTGACAGATAAGCCGAGGTTTGCGGCCTACAAGACTCTGAGCCACGGAGAGACGGCCGCTCTCCGGGCACAAAAGCAAAAAGTGGGACCCCAGTAAACCATCTCCCCCCCCCCAGGACCAGTGGGGGTTATTGCGGTCCGCACAACCAGACGGAGACCACCCAGCTACAAGGTACCCCAGGGAGCACAGCAGGCAAGCGGGGACCACGAGGTCTACTCAAAATGGCCGACGATGGCATTACTCACCCAGACCAACAAAATCCCAGTAACTGGGAAGCAGACTTCAACGCCAGGTTCGGGGCCATCTGCAGTCAGTTCTTGACACGCCTGGAACAGAGACACAGACCCATACTACCAATAAGGGTATGTGTGGAACCCAAGCAGCACAAGGAACGATGCCTTAACAGAGAGGAGAGCTCCAAACAGCGCAAATCCGGAGTGCTGCACACGGGTACCCACCCAGGTACAACTCCCGAAATGGGCCCACCCAACATCAGAGCTGCAAGGGGGGCAACCTACCCACGCCGGCAGGGACATCAACGCCAGTGGAGGTGCCCACGGAGGTCCGGGAATGAGGCCCGACGCAACCACACACCAAGATACCAGCCACAGACACGACAAGCCCAGGGCAAACGGGAGAGCAGGTGTAGCAACAACCCAGACACATCACTGGTGAGCCCCCTGGGAACGGAGCTCCGCTCCAAAGGCTCAGTCCCGGCCTCCAGAACAGGTATCGGCTAGGTGCAAGTGGCTGTCAGCCGGAGAATTTGCTATCTGCCCAGATGTTACCTTACCTGTCACCTCACCTACACTTCGCTGGCAGATTTCCGCACCCAAGAAAACACGAACTCAGAGACTCTTTTTACATATATGACTCATGGCGAGTTTGGGCAATAGGCCTCTACTACTCAGACATGGCTGAATACGCTTGTTTTATTGTCCGATGCTACAATACCGCTTGGTACTAACCTAACATGATATACTCAGATATGCCACTTAGGCATAATGTTCGCTTGTCTCCTACAGCTCAAACGTGTTCAGTACCCCAGGTCCCCGCATATTTCCTATAATCTAAAATAGCACAGCACACATGACACTCTAAACTAAGCTTAACCTGTTATACCGCATACTCTCACTGACTACACATAATACCTGTATTCCAGTGCTCTAAAGCATAGTTCTTAACAATTGATAGCATGAATGCAGTCAAGCATGTTACACGCTTAGGTAAACTAATCAGATACCTACATAATGAGATCTAACACATAGTACACTGCCCAGCATAACTAAGCAATGTATGACTTAGCATATTCAGTGAAGAGCAAATAATATGGTGAGTGGGTTTCATAATACTTACCTACAATCTAAACGGAAGAGGGTCTGCTGTGCTGGGGGATAGGATGGCTAGAAGGTTGGAGGAGATTTTAAACTAGTGGTGGGGGGGAGGGTCAAAGCAATCTAGAAAATGGAGATAGGATGGAAAGGGCTTTAGCTCAGAACAAAGGCGGTGGAGATGGGGGGAGGGGAAAGCTCAGAACAGAGGAAGTATGTAATATTGATAATTCACAAAAAGTACAAAAGACTCATGATAATATTAAATGTATGCTTACTAATGCAAGGAGCCTATATAACAAAATGGGGGAACTAGAGGCAATAGCATAAACTAAACAATATGATATAATAGGCATAACTGAAACATGGTGGTAAATTTTGAAATAAACTCAAAAAAGCAAAAGCAAGTGGGGTATACTAAAACTTATAATTTTTAAAAAGCCAATTTCAATAAGATTAGGGCAGCTCTACAACCAGGGCCGCCATCAGGGCATGACAACCATAACGGTTGTCATGGGCCCGGCGGTCCTGGGGGGCCCGGACTGCTCAGGTCGTCCGGGCCCCACATTCAGTGGGTACATACCGGGTCACAGGGGGTCCTGCGACCCGGTATAAACTCACAGGGCCAGCCTCTTCTCCTGGGGGGCCCAGCAGCCGGTCACCTCAGGGCCCCCCAGAGGCTGGCCCTGCTGACACCCGGCGGCCGGCGCGCGAGGGAGCACTCTCCTCTGCTGCTTCTTCTTGAGCTCCCTCGCGCACCGTACTGATGCCGGAGCCGGAAGATGACGTCATCTTCCGGCTCCGGCATCAGTACGCGGCGCGCGAGGGGGCTCAAGAGGAAGCAGCAGAGGAGAGTGCTCCCTCGCGCGCCGGGTGGGGGAAGAAATTGGAGGGGGGATGAAGGAAATCTATGGGAGGGAGGGGGGAGGAAGGAAATTTATGGGAGGGAGG